CATGGCTTTCAGAATGATCTCATCTTAAAGGCGGAAGATGTCTGTTTCCTCGTGTGCCTAGAAAGTGCTCGCACATTTCTTACGACGTTTTGACGCTTAAAACTGGGAGGCGTTGTGCTTGTCACGCGGGAGAGAACAGGAGAGGATTTCTGACATTTCGGACACCAGGCATCAACAGGTTTTGGGTTTTATTTTCATAAATCGACTGTTTATCCAACCTTTCGATAAGATGGTTGGAATGCACTTGAAGAGAATCCCCCCGCCTTCACCGCACTCGCACAGCAGCAAATTGTGACGGACGGATAACGCGGCACGGCGGGGAGTTCGGAGTCACTCTGCAAGTCGAGGCTTGACCGACAAATATGTCAACTACAGGCAAGAATGGAAGGAAGGGGAGAGAAATCGGCTAAATCCAGAGCTTTACAGATGCATTCATAAGCCTTGAACTTTTTCTGTTTGTCACGTTACAAATGCAAACTTCATTGTGTTGTATGAGAGAACAATGCAAAATGGTCCATAACTGTGAGGGGAGAGGAAAATGAAACATGCTTTATGTTTTAATAAGCATAAAAAGTGTGGCATGCGTTTGTATTGCAATACCGTAGTTCATTTAGCTCGACCCTGATCAGCTTTCTTGTTTTTGCTTTAGAGTTGGCTTAGTGGATTTTATTCACAGGTAGCAGAGTTCAGGGGGGCTGAAAAACATGTGCCACACATTGTAGGTTTTTTTTTATTTATTTGGGATACAAGTTTAAGAACCATGCATCATTTTCCTTTCCTCTCCTCATCGAGGATGTCTTCCTGTCCGTCACATTAAACCCCAGAGAAACGCAGCGAAGTTTGGTGTTGGAATGTGACAAAAATAGGAGAAAGTTCTGTATGTCTGACTGTATTTTCAGAATTCATGTTAAGTTCATCAGCGGAAGAAAAATAGCTTCTTTCGTTTGGCCCATTTGTTTCCAGATGCTACGAGCTGTTAGCGGCGAATGCTAAAACTTGTTTTTTTTTTCTTCTTCAAAACGTGCAAACCAAATGAGACGGGGTCAACATTTGACCCTTTCACATCACTGAGAACGGACCTGAATGTTCAAGTGTTCTTAACAAAGCCAACAGGTGAATATGGGTTTCATGGTTTGAACACAGGATAAGTGCTGTTTGTTTTTAGCTGGCCAGCAGTCTCCCTTCCCGCCGACGCTCAGCGTTATAAGCTAACCGAACCAGGTGGCGACAGTATCGGTATCTTCCGTCTTGCTTCCTCACGCGTGTGTTGCTGACACGCGAGTTTCCACAAAGGGACCGCATTTTTTTGCCGTGTATGCGATTTAAATTGCCAAACGCTGCCTTACTTTTATTTTTTGAGTTTGTTTTCCTTCCATGTTCATTATTCCAGCACTTCATTGTGTTTTGCGTTGGGGCGGACTTAAAGCCATCCGTTTGCTGAGAGAAAGCTATCGAATCTCTAATTATTGCGCTTTGTGATATCGTTTAGCACAAGAATCAACTGTATGCATACAAATAGAAAATGAGTATTAGCAGCGATTTACTGTGACATGCCAAAAACAACAAAAAAACCCCATAAGGAAACAAAATCATTAACACACAGCCTTGAAACTTAACCTGTAGAGCTGATTGATACACCATAAAGTATTCTGATATGATGCCACCTCAAACAGCATTCGTGGATGTTCTTGCACTACTTAATCGTCAGAAGAATAACTCTGCTGTACCCGTCTTTGTGATATCGGTATAGTTAGATCGACTTCACGCCATTTTGCACTTTTCTAATCGCTCTGTGGTTAAGCACTAGGCCTTCCTTCCACGCCTTGACGATGATTCGCCCTTGAGCTCAAAGCATCAAACATTTAAAAAATGAAATAATAAAAAAATCACACTTATGTCGTCACATTCGTTCAGCTGGGCGGTCGCGATACGAAGAGTGCTGATGACTGTAGAAACGTAGAAGAGGTGATTCGGCGCTCGCAGAGTGCGGGACTAAGCATTCTCTTTCATGTCTTCCATTTGGCGAGGTTTTTATTTACCTTTTGAATCGACTGTGTTTTGTCCTCGAGTGTGAAGCTGGCAGAATGTGCTCAGTGTAAGACTGGAACGTTTACAATCTGTGATGCAATTCTGTCTCACAAATTTTGTATATTTAATAAAGAGTATTTTGTGTTTCCTGCTCACGGTGTCTTTTGTGGTCATTTCCTTTTGGTGTCGATGGCGTAGGGATCGTTCCTGCTCCACTCATCACCAGTTTGGAGTCTTACTGTGACGTGTATATTATTCAGATATATTAGGTATCCACATTTTTTTGCCGTGAGAGCCAATGTTGTCAAATTAAGAAAACTTTCAAACCCGGGCTGCGCCAGTTGCACTTTTTGGGCCAATCACCGATCTTTAAAAACGCTGACATGACGAAAACGAGGCCAATTTATCGGCCGGCCACTAATTTGAAACATTGTTTTCGGGGGAAAAAAATGCATTTCTTATTGCATGTATTTTTATCTGTTTGATCATGTACTAGAAATGCAACATTTTAAACAAAGCAGCGTCAATCGTAATAGAAAGCAAACCTGAAAATTGCTGTCGATCCAAAACATACAAAAGTGTCTCTCGTGATTCTTATCAAAAGAAAGGCAAACAATTCCCACGTATTTTTGGGTCGGTTGTTTTCATTTTTGGACTAGAAACGTTCTTTAGTCTTTAGGATGTGACTCTCCTCTTGCTGCATGTGGCCACGTTTTATGAATGTAGAGGGCAGGATGAGTCTATTTACTGCAGAGTTAAAATGTAACCAAAAACACGGTCAATAAAAGAGAAAAACCTTCTTCTTTTCCCAAAGTGTCCGTTGTGGTTACAGGGATAAAATGACCTCAAATGGCCCCCTGGGACACATTTTGGACACTCTTGTGTTATATGCAAAATGCATGAAGTAAATGATGTAGCATTGACTATATTACATAATGTGTATAACATTTTGAATCAATTCAATTAGTTCCTGACATCTACTGATTTACGGCATGTCATTTAGTTGATATCTACATTAAATCTTACATAGATACATATAAATATATATGTATGTATATATACCTTTTTTTTAAAGCATCACATTATTTATTTTTGGGGGATTTTAAATTGAAGGAAAACATGAACCTTTTGCCCCCCCCAAAAAATATATATTTTTTTCCTGTGAAAAATGATGCAAAAAAAGAGGGAGAAAAAAACAACACATTTCCCAACGTAAATGAAATAAGAATGATCAAAAAAAATATTACTCAATCCAATTACTCCTTGGAAAAAACTGCTGAGACTTGCATTTTCAGTTTCTTTTGTTTGTTATTAAAAAGCTTTTGCAGGAAAATTTGACGGGCAAAAGTTTACAACTAAATGTACGAGATACAGATGAGAGACGTTCCCTACGGAGCCCTCCAGGCGACATGGGGATTTTTTTTCTTCTGCGTTCCCTCGCAATAATCTGACCATTACCGTAAGTCTTTCTTACGGTGGCCCTGCTGTAAGAAGGGCTTACAGCATTCAGTTATGCCGCATAACTGATCAGTACAGTAATGCGTGAGAACACGAAGGTTTTGTGAGGGAACGCAAAAGGAAAACAAAACAATCCCCATGTCCCCTGGAGAGGACATAGGTTTTGAATCAAAAGATGCATTCAAAAAGAATTAAAGGCTTATAAGTCCAGGTTACAGTTCCAATCAATCCAAGAAGGATTTGTTTCATTGAACATGTCACATTTAAAGGCCACATTCAACACAGATGCGATTATATTTTCACATGAGCTCAAAAAAGGCCAAATCTCCACTAGAGGGCGACATTTCCTCTTTAAAATCAGACATGAGTCCTGCGGGTCATTCCAGTTCGTCAAAAAATTTTTTTAATTTTTTTATGAAAGTGACAGAAAAGTGAAACTGGCATTTTATCTTTTGTTGTTGGATCGGTTGGACTTTTGCAGTCATTTATAAACAGAGTGGAATAGAATAGTTCTCTGTTATTTGTCATTTGTTTCAGCAAAGCAGTGACAAAACAAACCCAAGTTAGTACAAAAATATCACAAAATAATATGAACAAATGTATATCGACAAAATGCCTACAGAAAAAAAAAGGAAAATTCTAAAAATAAAAATCTGAAAATCCAGAAACTATTTTAAATTTACAGCATATGTACGGAATAGTTCTTCTTTTGTGCGTGGCTGTGTGTGGAAAAGTTATATGGATATTGCATAAAATTGTACACTTTTACGTTAGGGCTGCAGCTAATTGTTATTTCACAAATCAATTATTCTGAAGATTATTCTGCCGATTAATCTCTTAATTGGGTAAAAAAAAAAACAACAACAACAAATGGCCACGATACAAATTTTTCATTTAACCGTGGAAGACATTTTATACAATATTAGAAAAACACTAAAAGTTGCAGATAAACAATTCAACTTCATTCTGAAACAAGAAAAATAAACATTTTACTGGCTAAAATACAATAACATGTAATTCCTTTGTTCTGGGTGAAGATAAAACTGTGCCACTTTAGGAAGCTTTTTTTTCATCTTAAGTCATTTTGTTGAGTTTTGGCTTAATTACTGCTTTCAATCTGTTTTATTTTCAGAAAACATCCCTCTTTTGAATCTGTATACTGTAGTTAACAATTAATCATTACTAAATTAATAGACTCCCGTCCCCCACCCCCCAAAAAATTGATTCACCACGATTAAAATGATCGATTGTTTCAAGCCCAATTTTAGATTCTATTTAAATTCCGAGCAATGGGTAAATACTTTGTGTTGTCTCTTAAATACGTCAAGCTCATTTGCAGAGCACGTAAAGCAGTTCAAAGTACTTTAGGTTGAATGAGTGACAGTCAGGACTAAGTTTCACGATGTTGAAGGTCACTTTCTTGATAGAAATATCTTTTTTTTTTTTTTTGTCCGGGGGTTAAAACTATAAAACAAAGCACAGCTTCCTGGGAAATGTAGACGCATATAGAAAGCATAACTACATTGCCCACAATGCAACGTGGGAAGACAGCTGAGTGTTTTTGCCGTGCGGCGCAGGACGGTGAAAGTGCTAGGGGAGGGGGAAGAAAGAAAGTTGCTCAACTTGAGCAATAAGGAGGAGAGTTGTGTTGTCCGGCAGCATGTCTGACCGCCCACCGTTCCAGCCCGGGAAGTCTCGTTTCAACCAGGTACATTTATTTCAGCCGTGACCCTGAACGCAGCACGAACTTCCATGCTGAGTTCAGGGCTCGCCGTGGTCGCTCGCATTAATTGGTCTCTGCTCGGTTCGGGCGCAGACGCTTGTGTGATTATTTTTTAAGAGAAGCTGTTTAAAAAAAAAAAAAGCCATAATGAACATTTGGAGCGTTTTCCTGCGCAGAACAAGTTCAGCTCCTGCTTACCAAGTTGGCGAGGCTGAAGGAAACCCGGTCCAAAACAGAAACGAGGAGCCTGAACGCATTCAAAGACAAACATCTCTCTTAAAAAAAAAAAAAAAAGTAACATGAATATGATCAAAGAAGGGTTTTGAATAGAGCGCGAGAAGACGTGACGTCATCTCGAGGCTTCCCTGAGGGTCATGTTTGATATCTTATAGTACAAACCGGATGGGCTGCTTTTTTGGCAAATAAATAAATAAATAAAAATAATTAAATGGCTGAATTGCTTCCAAAAAATAACTGTTGTATCGTCATATTCAATAAAAACTGATATTAAAATTATTAATCAATTATTATTATTATTATTATTATTATGTAGGCTATTTCAGAAGCGGCAGGCAGCTGGTTGTGTTCCAAGTTTTAGCTCTGCTTTTAGCTTTTTTGTTCTCGCGGCAGATTATTTAATATCAGAATGTTACACACGTTTTGCACCGACTTATAAAGGATTTAACGCCGAAAAGGAAAAAAAAAAAGTTTAAAAAATGTCAGCGAACGGCGCGTTAAAATAATTAGATTTAAAAAATGACCAACATGTTTGACTGTTTAGGCTAATGTGCGCAAATTAGCATTAGCTTCGGCACTTTGAGGCGCAGGAGGTATTAGGTGAGAGGTGGGAGGCAACATGGCGGCGCAACACCTTTGAAATAAAGCAAAAAAAAAAAAAAAAACACACACATATATATTTAACTAACTCTTAGCTCAAACTGAACCATTTATATAATCGGCGAATAATCTAATTGAACAGATTTGAAACAGCCGCCCCTCGTCCTCGTGCCATGTTTCTGACAACCATCCATATGTTCATTAAGTGACGAGACGTCGCGATGAGTCAAATAGCAGATTTCTGTCCAAATTAACAGTTAGTGTAATTAAACCCAAGTGAAGGAGGCGGAGAGATACGAGGTGGGGGGAGGAGGCGGAGTGATTCCTTCTGCTCGCCTATGAATTAATGATTGAAATGTATTCCTGGCACCGTCATTAAGGAGCTTAATTGAGTTCGGCGCGTTGCGGATTCGGGCCTCTAAAATACGGAGAGATGGGGAACAGTCTGCCAGAGGCTGTAATGAGGAGGAGGCTCCACCTGAAAGCCTTACAAACAGCTGGCGAGCCGTGATGTCGCTGTTTACCGGAGGGAAGGGACAGCTGGGACACCTGGCTGTTCCGCCGAGAGAAACAGTCCGAAATCCCGGTATCAAAGTCATTGGAAAGTTCGAGGTTTTCTGTTCCCTTTTCTCGCTAACTTGTGAAAGAAAAGTTTTCTGTGTAATCCACGTACAGCATATTTTAGGAAACGATAAAAAATGCTATAAAATCAATTTATGATTTTATTTATTTATTTTTTCTTAGGAGACGTTTCGTGGGAGATTCCGTCACTTCCTGGATGTGATCGACCCCAGGACGCTCTTCGTGTCAGAGGTACTCGGCTTCATATCGCTCCATGTTTTTCAGGGGGAAGTTGATTATAAATTGTGAACCTGTAAAAATGAACTTTATGGGAGACCGTCCACACATGTGAAGGTCCAAACGTCTGGTTCTGGTGCTAAACTGAAGCCTGGTGTGGGCGGATCCACTTTTTTCACTTCCGATACCCGAGGTTTAGTATCGGCCATGACGATTCGATTTGCAAAAATCAATCTCTGAATAACCAATCTTTGTTTCCAATATTCAACTTTTTCCACAATCTAGTTTTTTAAAGACACTTAATTTTGGGTTTTTATTATGGAACTAAAGGCTTGAGATATTTCACTCAGCGATGAATAAATTTAAAATACGAGCTCTGCGTTCTGAGTGATAAAAAGTCTGCATATTCCATTTAAATTTTTTTTTTATGAACCTGTATGATAAGTCTTAACTGGTTTCACTGGTCTCTACATGGTCCGGCCCAGAAATCATAGCTAGTTGTCCCTCAGACATAATTCATTTTCCACATTCAGAGTTTCCCATTAATAATACATTAAAATGGAAGTGTTCCTCTTTTGACTGCAACAGTGAAATATTGCCCTGTCCTTTTTTTGCCGCTGTTTCATTCTTTTATCTTTTGCCGCCCATGAAAACCCGCAGTCTCCACTCACTTACTTATAATCAGGTCAGAGTAGCACTGCTTCAGCATGGTTTTGCTCAAGTAAAAGTAAAACTAGTAAAAATACTCCTAAAGTACATTTTTGTTCCCCCTGCAAAATAAGTGTGAGCGCTCACTCTGGAGCCCTGCAGGAGGCAGGCTCAGCCCGGCGCTGTGATGAGTGACGGCTGTGATTCACATGAACGTGAGCTCACCATCACAGACAGCTATATCTGCACTAGGGTTTTCAAAATAATCTCTAATCAATACTCATTTGTATTTGCATTCAGGGTCTCGCGATATTCCAGTCAAAGCCCAGATATTTTTGCTTTTAAAGTGCCAAAAATGTTGAAAAGCTGAATGTGTATGAATGAGCTGTATGCTAATATATACCAAGGTCAATAGTAGCAACTTCCAGGTTTGTGTTTGCATATCATTAGATTGTAACACCACACACACACACAAAAGCTCATTCCCATTCAGTAGAAAATATTTGTCTTCTTAAAATTTGCTCAAAGATTTTCTTGACACTTGTTGAGTAAGTGTAGGTTTCCATTTTATCTCCCTTCTGTCACACCAGAAACGGCTGCAGGAGTGCATCAAGCTGCTCGATAGCTTCAAACAAGGAACTCTGCCTCCAGGAGTCACAGACGCCGAGGTAAATGCACATCTTTTCTCTTTATCAGATATTTCTATGTGGCTGTAAATGAAAACATGATGTGTGAAAATTTGTGGAAAGACAGTCAAGTTTTACTTTTGGTGAACGATGAGCTGTAACTATCGGCTTAGAGACGGCCATAAACCACCATTTGAAAGGACAGTTTTAATTCTCATCTCTCATTTCAACAGCTATGGGAAGCCCAGAAAATAAAGCAGGTAAGAGTTGATTTATTTTTTATTTTTTAACAGCCTTTTGGCTCGCCGCTGCCTTACTGCCATAAGACATGGCAGGTTATAAAGGACCTGTTGTACACAAGGCAATCTGAGGTGCTGTACAGATATCAGAGGAACAACATTGGAAAAAAGCTTTATTTGTTACATGATCCCATTAAATTAGGCTCAGAAGAATCAGCCAGAAAACTGACTGGTCCTCAAGACCTGGTGATTTTACACCCGACTGGGCCTGAGGAGAGATGTGCCCGTTTGAATCTAAAATCTCCAAAATTTACTTCCACCGAGCGAGAACGATGTGTCTAAATGCTTACCTTTAAAGTTCAAATAACACCCTACCTACGACCCCAAATCACAGGGGAGGTGAAAAGGAGGCTTTTCAAAACCTGCGAGTGGAAATCTGCCACAAAGTTTCCAATAGGTTAATCATTAACAGGAACATTTTGTTCAGATCGATGTGCTGTGTGGTCAGGGCAGAACGAGCAGGTTTTGAAAGATGGCAAATAAAAATTCTTGAGGTTTTGGTTGAAGTTCCCATCTGCTGATATTATTATTCAGAAGCATACAGAAAAGTGACACCAAAGCCACACAAGCCCTGTTTAGTTGATTTTGGCTTTAATTGAACTCTATTTTGATTATTTCTTGTCTGGTTCATTTGGGGAGGTGTGAACGCGTGATCGAACTCAGATGTGGACCAAGCAGCTAACTGGACCGTCTAAAAACCTCAGTTCAGTGGAAGTGAACTCTGTTGCTGTTTGGATGAACGAGAGTCCACTGCAAAAGCAGGAAATGAACTAAAGTACATAAAGGGCATTCTGGGTAAATACAACCAAAACTAAACGTGAGCCTAGCGCTAGCTAAAGAAATGGGCTAAGGTCTTTTGCCGAAGAAGAAAAAAAAGAAAGAAAAATCCTATTCAGCTAAAATCCTATGCTAGTCATATTTTGTATACATTTTGTGAAAGAAGGAAGTTGTGCTCAGTGTCTTGTTCAGAGGTTTTTGTGTCGGTTTCTTGAACAATTATTGGTGCAGCGCCACCACAGGCGAGGAGGTGAAGAGCTTTTTCAAATGGTTTGACTCAGTGCAGTGTGAAAGCGAAAGACAGCAGCTGTAAATATAGCAAAATGTTTCGACTTTTTCCCCCAATTCCACCGAGTCTGCAGAACTATCGGGTGTGAACACACACTAACTCTTGAACCGGCTCAAATAAAAGTCATAAACTTGCGTCTGTACCCCTGTTACGATTGCGACGTGATTTGGTTTGAACTTTTTCTAAATTCATCCCAGGTTAGCGCATAATGACAAGCAGGGCGATGGGCTCTCCTACGTCTCTGTAGCACACGGGAGGAACTGGTTCCACTGTAATGAAGGCGATATTCCCTCTTCTGAGAAGTAATTCTTGTGAATTACAGTGGTCTGAATCATTTTGTCCTCATTATCGTCTGATTGTGCTTTCATTACAGGCCATCATCCACCCCGACACGGGGGAGAAGATCCCCATGCCCTTTCGGATGTCAGGTAGAACGCCTCGGCGTGGAAGTCCTGGGGGACGTGGGATCTGGGGGCTTGTTATGTGGTCCAACACGGCGGCGGCGTTCACCCTGGGACCTGTCAGGGCTCGACGGGGCTCTTCGGGTTGTCTCGGGCCTCGGAAAGGTCACACTCAGCTGGGGGCTGATTAAATCTTCTCTCCTGCGGTGGCGGAGAGTGTCTCTGGGTTTTCTCCAGAAGCAAAAAGGAGTGTTTTGGTTGTGAAAATAAGCCTGATATAAGTCGGAAGGTGGGTGTAAGTGAGAGTTGACGAGCTGGGAGGTTGAAGAAGATAAAGTAATCAGCTGTAAAACAGGCCTGTGTCGATGCTGTGCAGGATAACAACACAGTTAGAAGAAACTTAATGTTTGAGTGTTGAGTTCTCTGACTCCATTTTTATAGTTCCCTACATTTGATCTGCGTTTCCATTGACAGTATAAATGTGCGATTTGATGTTTCGAAAATAAACATGCTTAATCTAAACACGTCACTTTCGAAAGGACTCTCGTTTTTCATTCAAAGGTTTTAATGCTCGGATGACGTGGTTGTTTCAGTCGTATCAGAATTGGTTTACTTCGCTAAATGTCAATGAAACACTTTTTTTTTTTTTTTACATCACACAACCGGATGTTGCCAATGGCGCCTGAAATTCTGGAAAATGTGCCTGCCATTTCTAATCAATAAGACTTAATTTTTTTTTTTTTTTTTTTTACTAATTGGTGAGAAGAAAGTAGTTTCAGTAAGTTTGATAAATGCAGTTTTTAGAGCCATAATACTGACTGTCCTCCATAGGTTTTATCCCATTTGGCACTCCAGTGGTAAGTCTTGGTTTACATGTTTATTGGTCATCAAAAATGAACCTTTCTTTTCTTTAAATAAACAAATTTAAATAATCTTTTTTGCTTTAATAAAGAAATTGTGCTTGGGTATTTTTTAATTTAACAAATGAAATGTTTTTTGCAGGTTGTTGGCCTCCTTCTCCCTAATCAAACAATGGCGTCAACCATCTTCTGGCAGGTACTTTTCTCAAAATGATCATAATTTTATCACTTTATATTCACATGTATGTCAACCTTGGGTTCCCGATCCATTTCATTCCAACTAGGAAAATGGGTAATAAAAAACAAAAAAAAATAAATGTGGCAGAAATCAGAAGATGTGTTGAATGTCTACCATCAGGATCTCCTTCGTTTCACCTTTTCTTTCATTTTTTTCCCCCCAGTGGTTAAATCAGAGTCATAATGCCTGTGTGAACTACAGCAACCGTAACGCAACAAAGGTACTTCACCTGAAATAAGAGCTGAACCTTGTTTTTTTAATTTTTTTAATAATTATTATTTTGCTGTTATTATTCTAATTTGTCTTCTGCTCTTTCGTTAGCCCGCTCCATTTTCCAAATTCTTCCAGGGTTATGTGGCGGCGGTGACCAGCGCCGTCTCCATTGCTGTAAGTTCACGTTTTACTTCTGTTGTTGTTGATCAATTATAGCGCTTACATATTTATAGTCCCAGACGCATTTATTTGCATGCTTTATTCTGAATAGTTGAATAAAAAAAATAAAACAATAAAAAATTCAGCATTTATTTTTAAATGCATTTAATCTTTTTTCAAAAGTATTATCAGTGGTGGCACCACTGCATCTTGTGAAATAATATCAGAGACAAGGTCCTATGCTGTTTTTTGTTTTTGTTTTGTTTTTATATAATTTTTTAAGCAGTTTGTACAAAGTATTTCCACATCATCACCATCAATTACAAGCTGGTGACTTTTTCCAAAATGATTATTTCCTAACAAATGCTTTTTTTCTCTCCGTTTACCAAAACTAAAGTGTTGAATGAGATTAGGCTAATGCAATAAAATATAAACTCATTTCAACTTGTTCAAGGTGTTTGGCTTTATTGCTGTTGTTGTTGTTTTTATTAGTAGTAGTAACAGTAATTGAAGTGGTACGGGTAATAATGTCTTGAATAATGAAGTTAATCATCTAAAAAGGTTCAGGATGTCATATCAAACGGTTATTATTATTTAATAAAATGTAACTTACAGACTGTATCACATCAATATCATTATGATAGTTTTGTCAATTGGTCCTGTAGATTTTAAGTTTGTTCTAAGAGATAGCAGCCGTATTTAGTAGTAAATTTGCTTTAAAAAAATTATATATATTTTTTAGTTTTTGTGTAATTCATTTTGAGTTGCATATAATCGCAAATTGTTTAGCTCCAACCTGCTTTGGTTTTACTTTGTGGAAATGATTTGATCCAGTCCAAACGGACAGCTAACAGAGTTCAAAGAACTTTTTCTTTCCCTTCCCTAAAAAAATTATAATTTTTTTCTATTTGGAGCAGAGGTGGATGTAAACAGTTTGAAACGTTTCTTACTCTAATTGTTTAGTTGACATTCTAATTCTGCTTTAGCATCTTATGTTAGCCTTTAGCGCTGCTAGCATTGCATGTTATGCAGCATGCTGCTAACATGCTGCATAGAATGAGGTTAGAAATGGCAACACATGACGCTGCATGTCTTAGAAAATGAAGTTAAAACTAACTGAATATTTTTTTTTTCACTCTGGAGAATAGCTTCTTCTTGTCTGTTATGGTGGCTCGCAAACAACTTCAAGGTGCATACTGCCACCTAGTGTACACGAGTGTGTGGCAACCCGAACCCTAACTAGCAACATTGACTCAGATTCATAAAATTCTATGTTTCAGTTTTGCTGGAGAGTTTCTTTGCCCGTCTAATCTGGTAAAGCTTAGCGTGGTGGATTCACTGACTAAAATACAATTGGATTTTTTAAAAGTTTCCTAACAACCAGTCGCTGATTAAGTCCAATCAGGGTGAAAATCAGACCATCCCAGTTATTGGACAGCGTCTCGCTCCAAATCTACTTAGATTTAACTAGAGACCAGATATTATGTGGAAAAACCAAGATTTGACAAGCGTGTACTTTATGTTTTTTTTTTACTAGTGAATCCTTAATATCCACTTATTAGAAGCAAGATTTTCCTGAGACATTATTGCCATGCTTCCTTCTCTGCGACACATTAATCTTGGTGACTTGTTTGATTTAGACCGAAGAGCTGTCATTTAAAGAAACTTAAATATCAACGCAATACCGTTTTCATTTGTCTTACCTCCATGTCACCGCTTTAATCGCGTAGAAGTATAATGTCTTCCTGTGCGCCTGGATGAGACGGCCTCGATCGGGGGACAAAGACGTCAAACTGAGCCAATTACTGGTCCTGCTGGGCGTATTCCGGCTGATGGCCTCGGGCCTCACAACCACGGGGAAAAAAAAAAAAAAAAGATCCCAGGGAGTCTGAAGGGAGGAACGACACGCCGGAAGGGGGCCAAGAGCCCTCCAATTACACGTCCGTTCTTCTGACAACCCCACGCTGGGCTGGTGAAAGCTGGAGGCTGAAGTTTTTTAAAATTATTATTTTTATTTCATTCTTGCGCCAGTGTGTTATTATCTGAACACGCAGGTTATCATTAGGACCCTTTAGGTGTTTGACATATTTATTTTAAAGTTCCTAAGTGTGTTTTTTCTTTTGCTTGTTGCACACCTAACCATATGATTTTCCATGCGTTTTTACCTTCAGGTCGGCCTGAATGTGTTAATCCAGAAAGCCGACCGATTAAGCCCAACCACCAAGCTCTTGGTGCAGCGGTTCGTCCCTTTCCCTGCAGTGGGTGAGTCCAGAAAGAGTCGCACTTTATTCGAGTCTCATTCGCTTAAGGTTTGAGTCCGTAATTACCAACAGCGACCACTGCAGCGTTGATTAAGCAACATGTAGGCTGTTTTTTTTTTCCTTTCTTTCCTCTAAAAGCCACGCTCAGTTTTACCCTCGGAGCTCGTGGAATTCTGTTTCTTCTCTCAGATCGCATCACTTCTCTGTGTGAAAGCCCAAAAAGGAGTGATTTATTTATTTATTTTACCCCCTTTGATTTATGTTTTTTTTTTGTGTGTGTTTTTTTTATTTGTCCGTTTTCGTCTCTGGGGTTAGAGACGTGCTGAGAGCTCGCTTTTTTGTCAGATGCGCGCCGAGCCACAAAGCTGATTTTCGTGCCACCTCCCCGCATCACAATCACACCCAGGGGTATAGACCCGTGTCCCACGATGCCCTGGGGCTGCTGGCGCGTAATTAAATTGTTTGCCTGCCGCCCGTCGCCTCCCCCCTCTCCCCCACCGCGCCCCTCCATGCCGTGGCGGCTCTTCTAATTAAATCAACAGGTTTCTGCAGTGCAGCCTTTGCCTGGTAATTGGCTGCTCACTGGAACTCCACTGCTGCAAACAAATTGGATAATTACCCCTAAAGTGGCGTCTATGTCAAGGCCCTATTTACCTGATTTTGGTCTGGGCATTGTTGTTGCAGTTGTTGTGTTTGCAGGCCCGTATAAAAAGGTAATTAAACGGACTAATTGGAGCCCGGGAAACCAAAGTGCTGTTTGAATTTTCACCCATTTGATTGGGTTTGGTTACTTAAGGCCAGATTTATCCTGTAATAAGCTCATCAAGGAATCGCCTGCCATTCAAATAAATTGGACTATACCTGGAGCTAAATTCATGCTAGCTTAAAAAAAAAAACAAAAAAAAAAACAAACAAATAAAACAACAACAAAAAAACCCAGATCTGGCAAAGAATTTGTTTTCTTTAGGAAGTATTTGTGTTGTTTAGGTCATAATTGGTTGCATTTCACAGTAGCTGCCAGATATATTTAGAATGCACATAAATGTAATTATTTAAAATAATCACAAGCCGTCCATCCAGCATTCGTAATTGTCAGTCCGATTTCCCCCAATTATTTTATTGCCTTTATGAAGGTAATTACAAAATCTTTTTTTTTTTTGAGAATTTGATCTTTCTGCTTTTTTTTTTCTTTGTCATTCATTGCCAAAATTGTTATATCTGTCCTAATATATATATATATATATATATATATATATATATATATAATATATATATATATATTTATGAATTACCCTGGATTAAATGGTCTCACTTAATTAAATTCCCCTCACAAGGCAACCTGCCGTCCCTCCGGGGCGCAGCAGAGATAACTCCGGACGCTTGTTGTCTTAAATTAAAAAGGCTCGGGGCAAGCGCACTAAACTCTCTAAAATGAGTTTTTCTCATTCCTATTAGAGTCGAGAAGAAAGGTCTATCTATATTAACATACATTTGTGTTCATTTTGGCGAGCGTGAATAAATAAGGCTGCTGTTTGTCGGCTCGCCGTGGTTTTGATTTGGCCCTTTCGTTTGTTTCAGAGTCCCAGTCAGGTTCAGTTCTACCTTTTATGTGCGTTATCTGACAATTATGTATGTCTTTGGCCTTTTAAACATGTGAAGATAGTTCAACTTGAAAACGAAGGCTCGTGCAAGTAAAGTCAACTGGAAAACGTTTGGTTAAAACGTTTGGTTTTAACTCGGGAATAAAAAAAAAATCGTCAGGTGGATTTAACAAGAATCACAGTCCTTTAAGCAAAGTCAACTCAACTTATTAATCTAAGTTTATCTTTTGCACAGTGCATAAACAATTAAGTTGAACATTTCAAGTTCAGCATCTAAAACTTTCCAGATTCCTTTGACTTTAAGAGTAGAAGTTAGTGAACATAAACCGTGGCTCAAATATTTCGCTCATTCGCTGGTGGTTGATTACATTTCCAACAAGCTCTTAATTCTGTGACTGTAGTCTTCACAAACATGATGGTCTTATAGTAGTGAACGGGAATGAAGCCAGAGGTGCTATATTCCAATTTTTCTGGTTGGGTCAATCGAATAAATTCAATTAGAGATTCCCTTTAAGATATTCTTTTGTATGTTTTTGTTGCAGTCAAATTTCATTCGAAGTCGCAAAACAGTCTTGAGTTTGAGTTATGGAACCTGCGGAAACCCTGTTGTCGTTCTTTTAACTATTATTTTGTGCCAAACTTTACACAAAAATAATTCTGTGTTTTGCCGGTCTCTTTTTGAGAGACTGGCAAAAAGAGCTTTCGTCCCAGCCGAAGTTGCAGAAAGCGACAATAAATTCAGGATTTCAAAATAAAAATGACATTAACCAGGATAGACATTTTGTTCAACCTTATCAAAGACAGACTTTTGCATTTGTCCTCAGGAATTTAAAGAAATGTAAAAAAACCCAACCTGACAGAAATTTGAATGATTGAGCCCATCTGTGAGCCTACGTGGTTGTTCGAAGTGGCCTGCTAAAATGTTGATGTTTTCTCTCTTTTAAACGACAGTGACTTTCTCTTACTTACGCCACTTCTCTTCACAGCGAGTGCAAACATCTGCAACGTGGTGCTGATGAGGCACACTGAGCTGTCTGACGGCATCGCTGTGCTCGACGACAGCGGGAAGGTGGTGGGAACGTCTAAGATAGCCGCAAGGCATGTAAGTCCCAGAGGTCTTATTGTGTTTATTTCTGTTATTATTTGTTATAATGACTCTACATGCAGTTATGAAAAGGAAAAAAATAAATAAATGCTCTTTTCTAGTTCTGACGTTTGACATTTTAGATTACAATTTGAAAACAATGTAACCTAAAAGGTTAAAAATGCTAAACGGTTATTAAATAAATATTAGCCAAATATGCAAATTTTTATTTTTATTATTTTGTCGGGTTTTTTTTATATACTACAGCTGAACCAAAGTGCAGAAGCTGGTTTTGAGTCCATTTCACTAAATATTGATGTCAAACCATTTTTAGCAGCCCGGATGTGGAGTAATTGTTTTGTTTCAGCAGTTAAATTGTGTCTAATATTTAACCCAAAGTTGCAAGTATGAATTCACTGGACAACTAGAAATCTGGTTTCAATGCTTTTAGATAAAATCAAGGCCCTGAACTGGTTCCCAACCGGCCCAGTAATGTTTCTGTTGAATTATAGCTGATATGTTTTCACTCTGACATTGTGACCACACGCGCACACACCTGAACATTTTCAAAGTCCAGCTGCCTGAACTTCTGCTTAAAATTGTGCTTCATCGATTAAAGGCTTCATTGGCAGCACCTTGCTGCCCCATTTCTATAACAGCTTTTATACTTCAGACATTTTCTCATCTGTTGTTGAGTAAAACAAAAATGTCACTGTGTTGTTGTTGTATGCATTGTAAGAGTTTGTTTTTTTTGTGACAGGCGCTTTTAGAGACCGCCCTGACCAGAGTGGTCATGCCTATGCCCATCATGGTGCTTCCTCCGCTGGTCATGGCCTTACTGGAAAAGTAAGAAAATCTCTTTCACTAATTTTGACCCTGTTGAAAATGTCTAATCTGTCTGGAAACTGAATATTGGATTTAAATTTGGATAATTTTGCCTTCACATGCACCAAATAATCTGAAATAAATTTTAGCTTGTTTAAAAAAAAACATATTTGTTATAAAATCCTAGTTTGGATTATATTGATTGAGATTAAATTGAAATATACTCAATGACTAGATTGAGGATCATTACCAGATATGGTAATGTTCTATGGTCTTCCACTTTGCACTTCTTTTGAATGTTTTGTGTATTTTTGTTTGTAAAACAAGGTTTTGGCAAAAAAAACGAATCAAAATGGCACACAGAGACGGAGCTAGCAAACATGTCATTCTTATTCCTACAAAATAACAATTTCATGTTGTAGAAATTAGTTTTTTGTGATGTTTTTTTTTTTTGGTGGGGGTGACTACGTTACATATATTTTAAAAATTCTTTAGTAACAAATGCTAACCTTAACCAACAACAACATCTTGACGTTTCCTGGTGGAGCAAGACTAAAAAATGTATTTTGCCTTTACCTTCTTTTGGTTTTAACTTTGTTCAAACTCATCAAACTTTAAGATGAGCATTTAGTTCTTCCTATTTGTTTATACTAGGAATAAATAGTTGAACGAAACCCTATCAGAGCAGGTATGGCACATCCTCTTGGTAACTACAATCACATGCAACCAATGAAGCGAATGGTAGTGCACTGGTAAAACTATGGATACCTTTCATAAGCTTCTTCCGTCAGATGTTTCCTCTGCGGTGAGACGCGGGATTGTTAAGGACTATGGTGATGACGTCTTTATGACGTGACGCTTTCGGTTGGTCGTCCTTGGATCAACGGAGTACCGCAGAGTAAGAGAGGAATGCAGAGATCTCTGGGAATCCCTGACAGCACTTGTCCCAACCGCTCCGAGTGGGCCGGTTCAGATGGCGCGGCCTGCTCTCGAGGTGTGTTTGGGATTCCTGGCACCTGAGTAACTGAACGGAGAGGTAGAGAAAGACAGAAGGAGTGTGCATGTGGGGGGTGTTGGTGCGTAAAAGTGTCGGTGGGGAGTGTGAGACAGAGTGTGCCTTCCTTGTGTGTAGTTCTCAACTCTCCTTTATGTCAGCTCGCCTTCACTGGCTCTCAATGGAGCGAGAACAAGAGGACAGAGACAGGACCCCCAGGTGGCCCCTCAGTGATGGATTGCCCTGCTGAGAACATATTCACTGGACTGACAGCAGGATCTGTTCTCATGCACAGCCTTGAGTATGTTAAGCAAAGTTTATTCAGAAGAAAGTTCCCAAATTTAGGCAAAAATGGCATTATATGATTGAGCAACAAGGTGCAGCAATATTTTTGTTACTATTCAATGGCTTCATACTTTCCAGTGGTTGGATGCATTACATAAAAAAAGCTCCATAACAAATGCCCATTAAATATTAACAGCAGTGTGAAAATATGAGTTTCTGTCACAAATGAAACAAACTCCCTGACCCTTTATTTTTAAGAAATAAAGAAATAAAGTTACATGAAAATAATTTAATATCTTATGGGAGGGCACAAAGCATCAAATATTTTGTGCACTATTGAGAGGAATAGTGTTCCTCTCAATTTCAATGTTTTTTATCCAGGATCTTTGACGGTTTGTTGCTGCACACATGAGTGGATCAGACAGGTCTAAGAAAAGGTTTACTGAGAAAACTGAATAGTGGTAATGATGACTTGGATGAGTGGTGATCTGTGCCTCAAATAGGAAACACTCTGCAGCAAGAGACCAGAATTTTACAGGGGGAAATTGGCCATTGGATGATGTGTTCGTAGCTTATGCGAAAGGTATGAACATAATATACAAGTCAGTGCAGTCAGGCCGCCACTTTTTTATCTATCAGCCACCCAACGCAATTGTCAAAGCCCTAGAGTGCTTGCACAGCACTCTATCGAGTCCAGAGGACCTCAAAGCGCCACACAATGTTCAAGAATGCATTCACTCGCTGATGGTGGAAAGCTACTGGATGGTAGCCACAACTGCACTGGGGCAGTCTGACAGAGGTGAGACTGTCATACACCAGTGCCATCGGACCTTCTGCCTACCATCAAACATAGTGGTCAGAAGGTCAAGTAAAGTGTGCAGTGGATCACAGGCCTGAGGAAGGCTGGACACTTCCTCAGGCCTCAGGACACAATGACAGATAAAGTAAACAGGGATTTCAACAGGCAACCCTCCGATTATGGGACACCTACTACCATCACCCCGGTGACAAAGCCTTACTGTTATTGGGGATAGGTGACTTCGTGGCTTTAGACAATCATCACAACAATCTTTTGAGGTCTCACTTTGGTGGTGGATTAGATACATGAGTGGGGATTTATGAAGAAATGATGAAGCTTAGAGTGGGGTTTTGTCTTTTCAGCTTTATGTCTGAAGTGTCATATGAAAGATGCAGGAACGTCATGGACTCTTGGGTAAAGTTGTGCGTCTCAGGGGTGGCTGAATCAGATGTCATGAGGAGGTGTTTGCGGGTGAGGGCGGACAGCCACATGGGTGACAGTCGGTTGACGTAGTAAGTAGGACAAGTGGTGAATCCTCATGGAAAAACTAAAGCTTTTCCAGGTAAATATTGATTGGTCTGAACCAGGAAGATAGTTGAGAAGCTAGTGGGTAAGTTCAAAATAAGGCTCCAGGTTTCCAAGTCAAGAACTCAGGGACGGTATAATTTGTAAATGTTGAATAACCATCTGCCACAAAGATTGATTACCTCATCTTAAATGGTACAGTCTAGCATCCCACTGTTTTTTCATTTAAAGCTAAGATGTACTGGATCCGATTTGGCTCCTATGTGACGGTAAATCGGGTTGGATGATGTACGCAGCCATTAGAACATGTTAATGTTAATGCATCCTCGCATGCGGCCAGCAGTCGGACTCCCTGCGTCTCCGGTTGTCCAACGTCAACCTGAGCATGCCCAGGGCACGGGTTGCATAAGAGCATTTAAATACAGCCAGAATTACATTAATTCATCAATGTCATCTTTATTTTTGTCCTTTATTAAGGACACCCTGCTTTACCTTACCGCTCGCGTTTAATAATGTGCAGCAACTTTTCTCTTCGTAATGCACTCTTCCAAGATGTGCATCTATGCTGGTGTGTGTATGTAGCCTAATTAAACCATGGCAGCCATATGTGTTAATGAGCTCCCTCATTAGGCAGTAGCTTTCCTCGCCATGAGGGGAGGGGAGCGTCACTGGTGGAGGAGAGAGGAGCGGCTCCTTCTCAAGCCCCTGCTGCGTTCACTGTCCCACACACTGAGCAGGAGATTATCCTGTGGCAGGCAGGCAGGGGGAACAGAGACGAATGTAGAAAATAATGCATTCTTCCAGCCACTATTTATAAAGTGTAGTAATTCAATGTCTGTATATTAGTTCAATAAACTGGCCCCTCATTTGTAAAATGACATAATCCACATGAAACATCATGTGGATTAATTAAATACAAGTGGATGTCTTTAAGTCTTTATCGATGGTGGTCAGGGCTGGACAATGTGTTCTAAAATCAATATCATGATAGATTGAACAATTCAACTCTTGAACGATAAATGAATAACACTAATCCCCCGCCCAAATAAAAAATGTCACCATAAATACTTAACAGATATTTATATTCCCCACAACCGTTTTTTTTTTTTGCAATTATGTTTTTCCATTTTACTTATTTCTTTAAATAACTTTTAAGCTACAGTGTCTGCAAATACATGAATAAATGTGTGTTTTGTTGTTAAAGGGGCGGTACGACATTAACCAATTTTGTTAGCTTTACATCATGGTATAATATTATTCCCTCATCAAAAACATACCTGGATTCGTCCTTTGATTCTTTCATGAATGTTTGAGAAACCCTTTAATCTCCGTGGCAACCATTCAGCTGAGCTCAGCATTCAGGACACAGGTCCTCGTTGCAGCTGCCGTTTCCACCCGTCCTCTGTGACTCCCCCTCTCAGCTCCTTCAGACTAGCCAGCAGCAATATTAGCAAACACCTGGTGGAGCTGAGCATCTACCTGAGCTCATCATAGGAGTTACTTCTCAGTGAAATGCTGGTAAGACTTTTTAAAGGGTTAATAGAGGAGCCATGTCATAACGACTGTCTGAAGGTGGAGTTTCAGAAAGAGCAGGAGCTTCTTAAAGAGACAGAGGCCCAATTTCAAGGTGTTAAATTACAGTCAATATTTTTAAGTCATTTTTGATAGAAAAAACATTCTTATAACTGAAGGCAACATGGTTATTTGATTATGCTGTAAAAGGGCACCATGTGTCTGGGAAATATAATACTGCCCATTTCAGTTGTTGCACAATGGAACATGTTTAGAAGTATAAAATAATAATTACATCACTTCTTTTTTCGGGATGTGGGCAACAAGCTGCTCCTCCTTTTCCTCCTCCTCTTCCAGCTCTACTGCCCCGTTTCAGCATTTGAAATTTCTTCCGTTTCCTCAGCCTCACCGTCTCTTTCACTTCCTGGTACAGACGGGATGGGGGTGGAGTCAAGAAACAAAGACAAAATCAACTTTTCTTTTCATTTAAAAAGTTTTTAAAAATGCCAACATGGGTGGAATGACGCCGGTCATCATCATGCATTTTAGTGTCAGTTAACTTTTGGTCTGTCGCTCAGGCTTAACTTTAATTAGGACAAATTTCCACTCACAGCTAATGAAAACACCATATTTGACATGACGGTATTACATTAGACAAATGAAATAAAAAACAGTTTCATACTGAACTATCACCTTAATGAAACATATACCTAAAACGTGCCTTCCGGTTCTTCTTTTATAAATCTATGTCTTTGTACACCCGACAGAGGAGCCTTGTCCAAATGCAAAATTTGCTAAAAATGAAAGGGTCGTGACGTTGTCCTCTTCTCCAGGCTCCCTCTGCTGCAGCGGCGGCGGCATCTCGTCCTGCCCGTCCACAGCCTGGTGTGTCTGGCTGCCTTCGGTCTCGCTCTGCCGCTCGCCATCAGCCTCTTCCCACAGATGTCTCAGGTACCTCACCGCTACGCTGCTCCACTCTACCGCAACTTTTATTCATTTTTTTCAGTCCTGTCGCAACCTATAAAACGGCCTAGTAATAGTGATTTTTTTCTTCAGTACAGGGTTCCTTTCACACACTTTTTTTATGTCTCGTTTCTCATGCTAATATCTTAGTACACTTGAAGTAAGACAAAACTAACTTCCAAGAAACTTTTCAGCAATGTGCAGGAGCTTGTTTTAAAGTAAATAATTCATTAATATTGACATAAAAGTACGAGCTCCACTGACAGATTAAGTCACGTATAACAAGTCATGTTTCCATGTTACAAATGAAAAACTTTGAAACTAGAATTTTTACATAAATATTGAGAAATTATGGATTTAAAACAAGCTCCTATGTCTTGTTAGCTTTGTCTTATGTCAAGAACACTAAGATATTAGCTCTAGAAACTCCACCAAAATGACTTGTCGGGATTTTGTGCTTTTGCATCGAGGACACATAAAACGCCAATCAAAATACAACTACATAAATCCTTGCTTGTGTAACAGAAATATGGAACGTGAGCAATAACTTGTGAATTTTTACATTTGTAACTTTTAAGTGCTTTAACATGTACCTGAACTCCTCCTGGCTGCACTTTCCAAACGTAACATGTAGTTTCCAGAGTGTGTAGCTGAACCTGCTGAGGAGCTGTTTGTTTCTGTCGTTAGGAGAGCTCTTACACACGCGGGCGGCAAAAGGTCGCACCCGCATAACAGACATATCAAATGTTCAGGAGTTTCCCAACCAAGAGGCGTTCTGTGGAAACCGGTAGCATTGAAATAAAGGATCAAAACCAAGAGGACGTTTTCTCAGATACTCGGTGACTGAGAGGGATTTCTTTTATATTATTATTATTATTATTACATAGTTTTTCAATTGTACTTTTATCGACTATTTGCTGATGACTGGGGGTCAGTTTCCGACTGAAGCCTTTACCCGACTTCCTCTGTGTTTCTCCAATGAGGCGTAGCGCTCCGAGACTCAACCCCGTGTTGTCCCGTTGTTCACTGCCACCGGTGCCATCCAGGCCGAGCGGGCTGAGATCTAACTTTAGCCCCCTGTTGGCTCAGAACGCCGGCATCCTGCTCATTAATCGACAACGGCAAAAAAAAAAAAAAAAAAAAAAAAAACAACCCAAAAATGTTTTTCGCTCGGTTTTGCTTCATCTTTGTGTTGTCTCTCTTGCCAAATGACTTGCTGACACAAGCCAGCCAGCTCTGGCTTTAAAATGTTTAGGATTTAATTACCTGCTGGAAATAGCTCAGACAGCCATATGGCAAAAAAAAAAAAGAAAGAAAACTTCAGACATATGTGCCGCCAACGGTCCTGTGAAAAGCCTGTTTTTCTCTCCCTTTTTTTTGCACTTTCGCAGGAATGGCAGATGAAAAAGAAGCAGAAAAAAAAAACGATCCCCCCCAATAAGCAACAAGAATGCCCTGCTCTCCGGGAACCCCCGCCTACTCAATTTGTCCCACTTCCCCACTTCACACCTAGCAAGATGTCTGATTAAGGATTCTGCCTCCAACTCCGACAGCCATCTGTCTCTGGTTCAAATATTAGGAGACGTAAACCTCAAATTAGACTTTAATCTGCCAAATTGGCTCCTTTTGCACATTAGCTGCAAATGGATAACATTTAAAAGCCTTAAAGAATATTTGCTTGCGTTTAAAAAAAAAAAAAAGAAAACTGTTGCAAAGCTCACAAGCTACGTCTACAAAGCGTAGATTCGTGTACGTATCTGACATAAACTCGTCATCTTATTGCTCGTGCGAAACATCTCCACCCGTGCGACTGACCTCTTTTTTTTTTTTTTTTCCTGTTCTTTGACTCCCATAGATCAGCCCCAATCAGCTCGAGCCAGAGATCGCGGCGGCGACAGATTGTCAGATTTTGACGTACAACAAATGGCTGTGAGCGTTCCCTCTCGACCGGCGGGTCGACCCCCCCCTCCGACTCTGCCGACGTGGAGGAGGTAGCTCGCATTCTCGCGAAACAGCAGCTGATCCAGACAACGCACGTCAACGCACATCAACGTGGAGATGGCGGTCGCAGTCGACAGCGACAGCTAAGTGTGCATCCACAACGCCTTCGAAGTATTAGCGACGTGACAACACGGAGGCTCACCAACGAGTCGATGCCAAAAAGCGACGCACCGCTCGAGCCTTAAAGGAAGAGCGGGCCGCGCCAATTCTGGCCGCTGTGTGATCAGTTCAAAACGGGAAAGTTAACAGCTGAAAAAAAAAAAAATAGAAATCAGCAATTCAAAACATATAGAAGAAAACTCAATGCTGATAAGTCGACTTTCAAAATAGTTTGGAATTTTTTCAGGTTTTTACAAAAAAAAAAAAAAAAAAAAAACTTCTTGCACAAAGTGAATGTAGAAATGTCTTAACAGCTTAGCACAAAACTTTATTCCGTTTTTGTTTTTTTTCTCTGCCTCCAGTAAAAGTTGTGTTGCTGCTTTCAGAATGAAAGTTTCAGGGATTTTCTGAAGGGATGAAAACTTCATGTTTGTCTTTGGGTTTTCTCTTTTTCCGTGTTTGCCTTTCAATCTGAGCACAAGAGATTACAGCTACAGCCAACAACCAATGGCTGGTGAAAAATGTCCAATTTTGTAACTTTTCAATTCCACATACTCGCAATAAACAACACACCTGAATGTCTGGCCCCTTGCCTCTGTTCGCTGAAACTTAGTGGGCAACATTGAGCATCGCTGTTTCTGAATTCAAGATTATTGACTACGAAGTTACACGTATTTAAAAGCAGACCATAGAGACCAAAAATGTAGCTTCTTGTTTTACATTTGATTTCTGACGTCCCAATGCAGAACCCCTTCAGACAATCAGAGGTCGGTGGAACCAGACAGAAAGTACTTGGTAAGTGTTTTTGCAATGTGTGGGCCAAAGTAAGGTGAGGCGCTTCTGAGGGGTTTTAGTTGGAGCATTTCAAGATAACTAATCTAAGTTGTTGGGCTTTTTTTTCTTTTGATTCAGATATAGACTTGCTGCTATCGCCTCACTTGATATTGCCCAATAAAACAACATCTTAATAAAAACAACTTGAAATGAAAATACTGGGCTCTTAACGCACTTATTTAAAGAACTACTTTTTGGAAAGTGTATCTCTGCATGACATTTTGCTGTAATCCAAACAAAAGTTCTGCAATTCACCCTCGGAAACCGAAAACTATTCCTGCAGACATCAACTCTTCCGATCATATAAGTCGTCTTGGCGTTGTTTTCTTTCCACCGGTGTCTTCAGCTTTTCTTCTGAGTGAGCCAGCTGGGAGCCACTTTTATATTATTGTTTTTAAACACTAAGCTAGCTGCACAAGCTAGTTGCACTTTCAGCTCAATGTCACTGCAAATAAAAGGTTTTTATCATGCAGTACCTTGCGGACCACTTGGGGGGCGCCTGAGGACCACAGTTTGAGAAGCAATGATTTAAGCCAAAGCAACCCCAGATAATCAAGCTACCACTTTGTCTCGTCCTTCTACAGAATGTTTTCCCAAAAATCTCGAGTATCATCACAATGTATTTTTTGGGTGTTTTTTTTTTTTGCAAATAAGAAAGTGGACATCTGTGTCATTTTCAGCTACCAGAGGTTTGGACTTGAACATCTGTAGCTGGTGTGTCTTTTGCTTACTGTTGATTAGTCAGCATTGTTCTGAGGTTGGTAGGATGGACTGTATCCTGGTAGAACCCTGTTCCTTGTTCTACGCTTCATTTTGTACTCAGACCCCTCAGCTATCGAGAAACGATTATTTTCTGGAGGCGTGGACTCTGTTGAAGTTTAAAGTTTGATGCAATCGCCACCGTTTGGTCGTGACGTGTGTAATCCGGAAATCCTACGCCGTAATCCTGTTCTTAAACAACAACCCTCCACTACAATGAAGAGAAGTGCCGAGCCAAACCAGATGACCGGTAACGTAAATTCAGTATTTGGAGGTATGTGCCGACACGGACTGAATGGCTTGGTCCTTCGCTGCCATTGCCATAACTGCAGGCTGGCTTCAATACTAAAACAGCGCAGAAAATCAACGGTCGCTCATAGCTTCTCCTTGTGTTGGTTGATTGGCCAATTTTCTGAAATACTACTGAAGGAATTGAACTCAATGGGAGAAATCCGAGACAGAGTTGTGAAGGAAATTAGAATTGAGCGATATTTTGTTGGAAGGCAAGCTTGATATGCTGTGATTTAGAAAGTATTCCTGTCTGTGTGCTTTTGCAGTAATCTTGGTAGACTGGCCACTCCTGAGAAGGTTCACCATTGCTCCATGTTTTCTCCAACTGTAACTAACTCACTACTTTGTTGTTCATGTGTTTCAAAAGGGACAATGTGCAACATATAACATGCCAGACTTAGTCATATAGGCTAGTTTTCATCTGTAGTCCCTCAGGGTGCAAAAGTGGAATCCCAAAGTTTTAGAAATGGCTTTGTAGCCTTTCAAGATTGACATCGTCCTTATTTCATGATTAAATGAGTAACAGTATTTTCAAATGTATTGGCATTGCTTGATGCTTGAACAAAAAGCGTCAAATAAAACATTGTGGGTTTCAGTAAAGCCATGAAACCCAACAATAAAGACAATGAATCTAAATTCTTATCATTGTACAAAATTTATCGTGATAAACGATACGATAAATGTTCTCCCCTAATAGTTTGATTTACGTTGCCATTTTCTCTGTTCATTTTTAAAACAGCTCTGTTTAAGCTGGTGATCTTTGCCTTCTATTAACATTTATGTGATAAAACTTCAGAGAGGGAAACAAGAAAGCAAAAACACTTTATGAGAAAACAAACTTGAAAGATGTTTTTATTTTTATTTTATAAGGATGCAGTTAATCAAGTCATAGTTCTGTTGAGTTTATATGCAAATCCGTGTCTATTAACCACAAAATCAGGCCAAGATGAAATCACGTCAAACGAGATCATGATCAACATATTACAGCAGACTCATCAGCGTCTTATCTCAGATGTCCAAGTAGCTGTGATTAGTGCTGGAGTAACTTTTTCAGCCGGTTTATAGATCCGTATCGTCGTGTTTATGTCGTCCCTTGGCTTGTATAAACGCTCCGTCTTTTGTTGTGATCTGTGTAATCGGCATGTTTGAGCGGTTGCCTTGGGAACAGTGCACAGCGGGTTGCCGCTGACAAGCAGTTGGATGAGAGAAGACCCAGTTGCATTGACGGTGATCAACAGAAACACCTTTGAACTAGTCAACGTCAAAGAAATGCATCCGGTAACGCATCAGAGATTTAACACAGAGTCGCGTCGGGATGCGTTTTCAAACCCAGCAGCCTAAAACATCTCGTGTAGATCATAAGAAATCCGAAACTATTGTTTGTTTAAGCTAATTGCGGTTTCGGCAGCAACAGCAGGCCCCCCTGCACCCCATATCCTTTCTTATTTTTTTTGCACCTCTCTGCTTCTCTGGAGAGTTTATCGTTTCTCACCCTGGAACGCCGCTCGGTCCCCTTCCTCCTGACTCGGCTGACAGGAGACGCGGCGTTTAGGGAGGCCCAGGTGATGCTCAACCTAATTCTTACCTTAGCCAGAAAACAAGGAGGCCCTTTAATTGTGCCAGTATTTTACCAAACCAGATGGCGACCTGTTCCAGAAAACCTTCCTGGCAAGAGGAGGTTGTAGAGCCACGGCTGTCAGGGCGAGCCACAGAACATGTTTGTTTAGATAACCCCGCGCCTCCTTTCAGCACGTTTCTGCACCTGCAATGAGTATAGGATATCTTGAGAAAACTCAAAACAAGCTGTGTGTGACCCCCTTCTGGGGCATTTAGCAGGGTGTTTTACCTCTACCTACTGCCTCTTTTGTCCCTCCTCTTTCTCGCTGACAAAATAAGACACCTGGGTCAGACGTCGGCTCTCCTCTGAGGTCTTGGGGTCATGAGGCCAATGTTTCTTCCGGGCAGGCGATCGCTTTGAGCTGTTGCTAAAAAAGATCGCAGAAATATCCAAAGCAGCTCCCGCCTGTTTGAAAGCTTTTGAAGCTTAGTAAATGTCCGTTTAGCTGTAATTTCAGAAACATTGGCTTTGTTTCCGTTGACTATTTAATTGTTCTATTTGAACAATTGCATCTGGAGAATAAAATTGCTTGAAATTTTGAAAAAATTCATTTCTATGATTGAAAAGAATTGCCGCATGTATCAAAATTGTTTTATTTTTCACAAAACTGCAATGGAGAGACTTTTTTCACATCATATGGGTCACATGGTCAATTACGGGATGTTACTACTGGTGAAATTAGCGACTTAAATAGGTGAGATGGATTTCATCGAGTGTTGTCAGAGTAAAGGGGTCTGAATACAAACGCTAGCACTCCTATCTGTTTACTTGAAACAATCCATGGATTAATTTCCCTCCATTTTGTCAATTTGTCAATTGACTTTGTAATGTGACAAAATGAATAATTTTGTCGCTCAGTCACCACTGAGCCTTGAATGTTTGGTTCTTTATTTTTCTTCTTCTTCCCATCAACCCCTGCAGTAGCATGTTTCACAGCAATCTGCACATCCACCAGCTCGACTGGACTCTGCAGCTGCCGGGACCAAAACCGCTGCCTCTCAATTAAAACAACTTGCAGCAAACTCCCATGCAACAGGAACACGTCACAAAGTTTTTATTTCCAAAGCCGTTTGTCTGTAAATACACTTTGTGCTCTAGAAACGCGTTCCGCACACGTCTCGCTCTGCATGCGGCGCTTCGTAAAACCCGCAACGGATGGGGTGTGTTGTCTTGTGAGTTGTCCACTGCGACGGTTCCACGGTGGCGAAAGACGGCAATTTCGCGAATGCGACTCAAACTTCCTTCCCGGGTTCACAGGTCGCCTCCCGCTGGTCAGAAACCTTCATTAGCAGGACAACGAAGACTGTCTCTATAAATAAAAGTGGTGGGGAGTCCGAGAGGTTCTCCGTTTCGTTCCGTTTCACCAACATGTTCGCTGACTTGACTGCAGCTTCCTTTCGAGGATGAGTTCGACTTAATACGGTGCACAGGTGAAAGTGAGTGGAGTGAGGTGGAAGTGATCAAACAATTAGTTTTTGTTAACCTTCATTGCTGGCCTATGTACAAAAAAGAAAAAGACTAAGAAAAACCGAGCACCGTGGTGCCGCAGGGTACGACTTTTCTCTTCGGCCGTCGTGAAATGATGCTCCGCTGTCGTCACGGCAGCGCGGGATGTCCAAACTCCTCGATGAAGACGTGGAGCGATCGCACATGGAATCCTTGAGTCTTCCTCTAATGAGTCTTGACAACGCTTTTAATAATCTTACATAATAAATAGTGTTGGTCCTCTGACGCTCAGGCTCGTGTGGGGGTTCAGTCCTCTGAGGTCACGTCGATGTCCTCGGAGCTGGCCTGCTTGGTGGCAATGCGCCACCTGTTGATGTGGTGGTTCCCCTTCTTCTTCTGCTGGCTGTCCGGACCCTCCTCCTCCAGCTTCTGGCGCTTGTACTTCGTTCGTCGGTTCTGGAACCAAACCTTCACCTAAAGAGACGAAACGGGGAATCAACGTAAATCTTTATTTGCTTTGGAGCTTCGTAGCTCTTTTGATTGATAAATTGGATTGATATGGTAAGCTTCAAAGAAACAATGACTCTGACTTCTCTGTTTAGCAAATTCACCAAGCTGGACACCAATCTGGCTTTTTTAATCAGTTTTATTTTCTGTATGAACTTTTCTCTTTTAGGTCAGTGCTGCAGACCTTTTTCTTTACTGCTTCGCTCTCAGTTTTCCTCCTTAAGATCGTATTAAATAAAGTTTTCAGACGCATGTGTGTAGGGTTCATGAGGTGCGACGGGATCATGATGGCACACAGCATAGATTCTGGAATCTGGGGTTTAATTTTTGATTATTTTGATTTTTGATTATTTTTATGATCGAACAAATTTTTGTCAGGAATTTGCCTCTGTCATACTTTTACTATGTTTTAATTCAAGTCTAAATTTGATTATTTTCATTTTTGTTCTTATGTTTAATTTTGGTTTTTTGTTATTTTTCACTTTGCTTTTGATTTGAATTTCTATCATTATTTTCACCTTGTTTTTTATGCATTCGCTGACTTTTACATTAGGATTTGAGAGCTTATCTTTCTTCTAAACAATTTTTTTTATCTTTAATGTTTTTGTTTCTATTTTCACTCTTCTTGTTCATTATTCATTTTTTATTGAGTGTTTTTTTGTTTTACCTTTTCAGATCATCTTTTCATTTCTTTTTCTTTTGATCTGCACTCTTTGTTTTTATTGTCATTTGTTTTCATATTTTGATTTTTGAAAGTTGTCTTTTTATTTGCACCGTTGTCACTGATGGTTTTTCTATTCTTTAATTGAATAAAAATTCTGGAAAACTCAGCCTAAACCTTTCAAGTCTAACTGGATACATCAACATCTGTCATAATTAACATCAGCAAAGTATGAGGGTGTATTAAATTTAAACATTTTTCATTCTAGTTTAGGTTTATCCATCTATCCAAAACCATAGGTTTGAAAAATAAATGCTTTTATTTGTTTTTGCAGGATTTTTCTGTGCCATTTACTATTCTAATTTTTGTTTTGAAATACTTGTATTTAAGGTAGAAGTTGTCATTTGCTCTGGGTTTTGTTGCTTGAATATTGCATTTTTCTACATGTTTTTAAGATATCTTCCTAAAGAGGAGCCACATTCACACATGTTGAGTTTCAGCAGGTGAAATCCAAAATTTGACCTGCTGCTGAAAATGGTGAATTTTGCCTGACATTTTCCAACCGAGATGTGAAACGCATTTCAAAACTTGAGCCAAATCTGCTTGTAGCGAATGTGCATGGTCTGCACCGATTTAGCTGGCTTTCAGGAAGATTCACCTGGAGTTCAGATTACATTTCTGCTTCTCATATTAACTGAATGCACAACATTCCAGCTGCTCAACACATGTTGAAATGTTTAACGGCACAATTTTTGCTTTTAGATCATGCAAGATGGCTGTGTTGCCCAGGATGACTAAAAAACATATACATTTCTTAATTGGCAGGTGTGATATATGAAGTAAAAAAAATTTAAATGTTTATTGTGTGTGAGCATCTCTTCTACATTTTTACAGAAATGTTCCCTTTGTGTAAATGGCCCCTTGTTATTTATGTCCTTTATGATAATAATAATAATAACTATTATTATTATTGGAAGTAATTATGGTTTTAACACTCATTTCAGCCATAAAATGAGCTCTTAATAACATAAATTTATTTAATGGAGGCTCTTTCATAAACTAAATAAGTGTTGAATGTTGTAAAAAAAACATCTGAGACTCATTAAGTTTAATTAATAATAATAATTAAAAGCAGGACAGGCGAGTCCTGAGTGTGAACTCCACTTACTTGGGTCTCGCTCAGGCTCAGGCTGTTGGCCAGCTGCTTCCTCTCGGCTCCCACCACGTAGTGGTTCTTCTCGAAGGCTCTCTCCAGGCGCAGCAGCTGCGACGGGGAGAAGGCCGTCCGGATGCGCTTGGGCTTCCGGGCGAAGGGCCCGTGCAGGAGCAGGCCGTCCTGGGACACCTCGTTCCCTGGATGCAAAGTCAAAACTCTCGCTAAATATTCCCCGTGTTCTCTTTCTCTCTCTCTCTATCGGTTAATAAGCCTTTTTAATTCTTATTATTTAGTCGCCATTGAGTCACTTTAGTTCACATATGACGCATATTTTGTGGTAAAACAACAGAGTAAAAACCGCGGTTTTTTTTTTTTTTTTTTTTTTTTTTTTTTGTGGCATCAGAATAAGCCTGATCAAAAATATATAAAATTAAATAAAAATGTAACTTCTGTGACAAATGTTACTTGTGTGTAGCGCGTTTTATTTTACATATAATATTTGATAAAAAACACCGTGACATTCTGGACCATTAATCCAACACTTATCTATTTGGAGACGGGAGAAATACTTAAAGCATCTTTTCTGGCTTGTTGGCGGACCATCAGCTATGTGAACTAGTATTTTTTTCTCGTCACTGGAGGATTTTGGTTTTAAAAAAGTCAGAGCTGCTCCAGTTTTATTCGGCATTTCACTCTCCTGTTTCGAGCAAAGTGTCGCTAGTGAACAGGGAAGAGAGGAACGTGTCTTCAGCCTGAACTTGAAGTGAGAAAATATGATATTTACTCAGAATTTGACCCAGTTGAGCAAACCGGGTGTTGCGTTCAGGGTCTCCGTTAAAGCTGGAGAGTAACAGGCGGAGCCACTGGACAGCGGCGTACAAAACACAATAAATAACCTTTGTGCGCTTGGAGCAACTTCGTTTGTTTTGAAGTGATGGCGAGTTGTGTTTTATTTCACATCACATTTTACTCTCAGTGTTTTCCTCTCCCTGTCAGCCCCATTTTACACTATTTAACTCCAGCATTTGGATTCTAATTTCGGAGCAAAAAACCCCTGAACCGCGCAGTGATACTGGGAACATGCGGTCGACTGTGACAGAGTTAATTGTCACGTTCCAAGTGTGACGCAAGTAAATTGTAATAGTTATTTTTATTTATTATTTTTTTTGTCGTTTTAGAGGACAAAAAAATTAAAGATTTGATGTAAAAAGAATCACATTTAATAGAAAATGAACCGCATAAATGTACTAAACATTACGCACTTCCTTTTAAATGTGTCTATTTCATTCTTTTTACATGCACCCGTTTATCAGAGCGTTGTAATATTTCCAGTTAGTTTTTTTTTCTTTTGCTTTAACCTACTAAGAATAAGTATCACATTAAAAACTTTTTATTTTTAATAAATTTGATTGTTTTGTTTTTTTTTTCTTTCTGAACCAAATTCAAAGAAATTGCAAAATAGAAAACCATTGTGAAATTCTTCAAGAAATTAGTCAAATGAGTAAAATGTAAAAAAAAAAAAAAATATGTTAATAACAGACGCAATTAATAATTACTATGAATACTTCGCCTATATCTGAGTGGTAAATATTTATTGTTTATTATTAATAATATTTATTATTATTATTATTATTTGAACACTACAACCAGAGCTTGTTTTTTCTCTTCTGTTGTGATTTTTAAGAATAAGAGTGAAATAAATTGCTCCTCTGTTCCCAGTCTCTGCTGTTTCACTTTGCAAACAAGAATCTCTTACCTTTTTAAAAAATAAAATAAAAATAAATCTTAAGAAGCTACTTAGAGAAAAAAAATCACCCTCAAATCGACACATTTACGCAACAAACGTCCGGCGGACCACCGCTGATCGGACAGGTCGCCCCAACATCTGTCACCTCAGCGCGGTCTCTCTCTCTCTGTCTCTCCGTCTCCTCTTCCTTTCCGTACCTTGAAATCTGTGTCCAAAAAATCTGTTCCGCAACACCCACGGGTAGAAGTTGAGCGGGTCCCGGTGTTGCGTGCCGAAGAAGTGCGGGTGCTGCAGGTGGGAGCCTCCGAGCTGGTGCGGGGCCACGGTGAGGGACGGGTGGTTCACCGCCTCGGGGAACACCAGCTCCGGGCTCTGGTAGAGAGGCCTGGCCGCCGGAGCCTGGTAGCCGCTCATTAAGGCATCTGTGGTCGGGTTGGAGTAACTCAGTGCCGTCGGCCGGATGGGGTCCTCGGCTGGCAGGGGGCTCTCCTTGGCGACCAGAGACTCGATCGTGAAGCAGCGCTTCCCGGCGGAAGAGAACATCATCTCTAGGCAGGAAGAACAGAGCTGGATCGTTCTGCTCTTAACTTCCTCTCGCTGCTCAAAGTCGCATCATGACCGAAGGAAGGTGGTGGAGGAGGTGGGGCGGGGAGGAAGAGGAGGAGAAGGGCTGCCTGCACAATCTGACCCTCTGAAGATGCTGCTAGAAAACTCAACAGTGCCGCAAAGTCTGTGCGCTCCCAGAGGGCGTCTGTTCGCAAATGCGCACCGAGAGCCAGCGGTCCTCCTCACGCTCCCACCCCGAGTGGCTTGACGCTCCGCAGGAGAGGCAGCTGATTGGACCGGAGCTCCTGCCAATTGGTCTCCCGGAGAACCTGCTCCACAGATCACAGGAGCCCGGGCCCTGCTCAGTTACACACAGCACATGTGTCCAGCCAATTAGGCGCACATTCAGGTTTAATATGTGGTGTTTTTCTGTTTCGTGGAGGCAGTCTGCCGTGGCTCCGAGAAAGCTGCTTCAGTGGAAGTTAAGAGCCGCTATTTGGAGAAATGAGAGCTGACTCAGTGGAGCAGCTTAAACATTAAATCAGTCATTTTTCTTTAAAGTGACATTCCAACTCCAATCAGGGCAAAATGAACGTATTTATTTTTTACTTGGCTTTCAGTGAATGTTTCGTCTGCTCCTCTTCTTTCATTTGACTTATGGAGATTTAAGAGTGTGTGGCTTCATCACACTCTGGTTGTTGTTTAGTTGGTTAAAGGTTGGACTGGTACCAGAATAAGTTTTCACAGGCAGGCAGGCGACTAATATGTGATGAGGCTGATAAAGAGTTGATTTAAATGGAAAAGAAGGAAAAAAGAAAAAAAAAACATCAGCAAATTGCATTTTTAGGTTATTTCGACATAAAAATGCTGTTATGTTTTGATAACAGATTCACTATTTGATTTGTGAGAATTACATTTTGTTCTCTGTGCACTGTAAGAAAAATAACACCTAGAAATGAACCAAATTGCGAAACTCTTTGCATTATATATAGATTTCAATATATGTTTGAAAGAACAAATAGTGCAAGTTTAACTGTTTGATGACCATAGCTACATTTCAGCAATGTTTTATATGTTGTTTTTTTGTCTGTTTTTTTCTTACAGTGCATCTTTGTTTAAAACTCCAAAACTGAACTAGTTATTTAATCCATGCAGCTAAAAATGTTATTCTACAATTGTGAAACCATAAACTCATGAGAATCTCCCTGTTGGTCAATGTGCGGATGCTAACCATGGGTAGCCTTAGCCTCTGCTAGCTGCTTAGAGGACAAAAAGCTGTTGTTATTTTAAATTAATATCAATATCAGTGGATTATGTTTATGACTAGATAATGAGATCACACTTGCTAAAGTTTGAGGTTAACTTTAACCACTAGGCGGGATTATACATTTCGTCCATTTGCTTCATGAGCTTTTCCACTTACTACTTTGAAAATGTATTTAATTTTGGAGCTTAAACCAGACCTTTGCAAAAAAAGTACTTTAGATGGCAATAAATATTCATTCAAAACATCAAAATGTGTATACATTGATTTGTTTTGTTGACGAATCCTGTCTGTGTTATTGGAGCATTATTCTCGTGCTTTGTGTCCTTTGAAAACATGATGTGTTGAATTAACACTCAATCTGGCAACTTTATAAATATTAGTGTCTTTTCTGTTGTGGTTGATCATGTTTATTTTTTTGGGGGGGTGCAGGACGTTAAGTTTAAATCTAGTTTAGCCAAAATGCTTCTTTGCACATTAGCAGAAAACTTTGCTAGAGAAGAGCTAAAAGAAAAGATTAAAAGTTCAGGACTGTTTCAGTAACATTTATTTACAAACCAGTTTTTTTTTTTTGCTGTTGTTTCTTTTTAACATGGGAGATGAGTGAAAGTTATTTTAGTTGAGCCCCCTTTTTTATTATTAAATAAGTTGTAATTTATCTAAGTTTTTTTTAATGTTGTTTTCTAAATCTACTGAAATCAAACAAAAATAATTACAACATAATTTTTTTCCCACAGTCTGATTTGATCAGTGTGGATATAACCCACTGCTTTTACAGGGTTAGGGTTAGGATTAGGATTAGGATTAGGATTAGGGTTAGGATTGTTTACACGCAAACTTCATTTCTGGATTTTTTGTTGTTGTTTTGTTTTGTTTAACCAACCCGAGTCTCTTACATTCTGTCAGGACGTCTCCGCAGTTTCCGTCCTCTGTGGACGTGGGGAAAGCGCCGCCCCGCTTCCCCTTTTTGCGCACCACACCGGTTAATTATTATCCGCTGTAATGTTCTCGTTTGCGTGCAGCTTGCATTAGAAAATCATTACCGATGGAAATGATGAGGTAAAACAAGTTGTTGATTAGGCGTTTAGAGCTAAAGGCTGCTAAAGAAGGCGGTGGGTTCTGTGAACGGGATCGCGCTTCCAGTTCTTTTAAATGTCACAGCGGTTCTGTTTACAGATACTGATCTGACTGCGTAGAAAACCAGAAGAGACTGGAAACAAAAGTGAGTTTTTCTCCTCGCCAGGGAAACCGCTATTAATCACTAATAAAAAGTACACTTTTTATTAGTTTGAAAACAACAACTGGAGAGTTTGAGTTCGTGGAAATATTGGCATTCAGCTGCACTGGGGCTTAAATCAAACGCTCCTTAATAAATGCACATCCGAGATTCCACTATCGGAGCTACCAGAGATCGCTTTCATTTCTGCTGTCATGCATCAACCGTCTCCTTGCTTCACCTTCCAGCAGCAGGAACTTGTGGCTTGACCGAGTTTAATGATGAAGCCCCGGCGGGCCTGTGCGCACTGACCCCCGTCGCTCCTGTTGCTCCTGCTTCTCCTGCTGGTTAATACATGATCGGATCGCGGAGGCATTTAGAAGAAAAAAAAAAGAAAGAAAAAGCGGAGCATGCAGTGGCCCTCCTCCCGTTGTTGATTTCTCAGCCCGAGGCTCAGAGAGAGCCGGCCGGTCAGTCTGACCACAGGGGGTTTCAGTGTGCGCGCGGCGGCTCCTCTGTGGAAATATCTGGACGCGTTTATAGTTCAGTCCCTTCAGGGTGAGGGAGATTTAATGCTGCTTTCCTTACTAAATAGTTCTTGTTAAAAGTCAAACATCTCATATAATGCGTCCTCGTTTGATGTCCCAGGAAAGCAAAGGGCGTTAATTTAAGAGGAAAAAGTCCAACGCCCTGTATTAAAGCTGCAGTATGTAACTTTTTTTTTTACTTGAAAAAATTAAGCATCTCTGCCTTCTCCCAGTGCTAATTAGAAACGACCAATCAGAGTCAAGAGGTGAACCTTAGCGCTGTCAATCACTCTCCATGTGGGGGTGATGGTCCTCCTTGCTCTATACTCCATTGCAGCTAGCATAGTTTGTTGTGAATGCTAAGGCTACTTAGTATCGCCACCAATAACAGCAGATAAACAGTTTTCCTTAATCGGTTTCTCCAACATTAGCCCATTTAGCAGGGAGTACATAAGATTGATTGACAGCGCTAAGACCCTCCTCCAGGCTCTGATTGGTTGGTTTCGGTCGGGAGCTGTACATTTCTTTAGAGGGCAATAGGAGTTCAGGAAGGAGGAACAGATCGATCTTTTCACAGATTGTCCATCTCACAACACAGTGGCAGTTTTAACAAATATTTAAAAACAGATTTCACTTTGAAATTTCAATAAAGTAAATGATTTACGCTTTTAAACTCTTCTTACTCTGAAACCACAAACTGATTTTACTTGACAGACCTATTGACCTATCGTGCCTATCTGAAGTGGAAGTAAATTGATATCAAAATTGTTATAAAAATCTGAAAAATGTGGCATACATTTGATTTCAACTTGCCCTGAATCAATATTTTTTGCCATGATTAAGTGCATTTTTTTTTTTTTTTTATCTCTACCACCTGCACTGTTCTGGAATCTGACTTTTCACCAACTGTTCTTAGGAAAGTAGCTAAACTCAGTCAATCTGAATCAAGAGTAGATGAGAATATACATTTTCCAGTCCTGAAAGATCTTGAACGGATTTAGCCGTGGACTTTAACTGGACCACTTGCATCTTTAACTGGACACTTGCATCTATACCACTGCATGGCTTTGGCTGTACGTTTAGGACTTTTGAACTTCTGCCTCAGCTCTGAGTCTTTGCAAACTCAAGCAAGTTTTCCTCCAGGTTTGTCATTAATAGTTCTATCCCCAGAGTCCTTGTTCCTGCTGAAGGTAAGTAATCACTCTTCATGATGCTGCCACCACCATGTTTCACCATAATGCGCTCAGGAGGCCTGTGCAATGCCAGTTTTTTTTCCTCCACATTATATGTGGATCAAAAAGTTACATTTTGGTCTCATCCAACCAGAGCACCGTTCTCTCCTCAACACAGTGTTGAAAACTGCAGTTTATCTTTATGTGTAAAGAGTAAATACATACAAAAGGAAAACCGTGTTTCCTTTTCCTGTCAGGTAAAAAAAGAGAATGTCATGGGGGGAAAAAATGGCATTTATGACCTGCTATTTATTTCATAAATAATTTGAAGTAAAAAATGTGAGGGCCAATCTTAGACAACTTAATGCAAATATTACAAAACCGTAGTTTTTTAATACTATGGTTGAAGTAGTGATGGGGCCTCATATCAAATTCTGCTCAGGGCTCTATAAAATCTCGGGCCGCCTCTGTTTACAAATGTAAACAACTGAAGTACAAAACATAGCAACTCTTGTCATTGAATAACCAAGTTTCACCGTCTTTCAATGCGTCTCGAACTGCACACTAAACATACGCGCCGTGTTCACTGTCAAGACGTAGAAAAACATTCTATGAACAATTATCTACCAAGTTGTTTCGAGGGTCCAATAAATGAAGAAACAAAAGCAACCTCAACATAATGTAAGTGCTGCCCTCTAGTGGAAACCAGACCCAAACATTTCCACTACAACAGATAATGATTTGTGACTGTGACTCAAAATATTTTGGAAACAGTCATATAAAAATACAGCTGGATATATGTAACATTTATATACAGTTTTCTCAGACCAATATCACATTTCCTATTTTTCTTATGCCACCATCATCATCATGATAGAACGTGTAGTTTTCTTACAATACAATATAAATTCTGTAATCGGTCACTCAGTGTGGCGTTGTGTAATTATTGCTTGCGGGGCTATAGCTATCACACACAAAGCAAACTTATTTGTTTAAAATTTCTTCTGAGAAAATACAGAATTTAACATTAATATGAAGCAATGCAT